AAAAGCTCCGGCTCTGTGCCGGAGACAATAGCCTTAACAGCTGTAGGCAGAGGTACCGATAATCAGTGTCGTCTTCGACGGAAGCGAGACGAATGTCTAATGAGCTCACGCATTCAGTCACGTTTTTCGCGTCTTCTCCGGCCGCCCTCCCGCCCATAATCCCGCGGGGAATTTGAATTTCTAATGACGTACGAGCCCGGGCACCGAGGATTATCCACGAGAGACGCCCCGGCCCTCGGCTTCTCCCGGCTTCCCAGCTTCGGCAAATGTGTACCTTCCACTCGCGTCGAATTAAACCGAGTGGCTAAATATTTGCGAACGCGGGACAGTCATCGACGACGGTGGAATCCTTCCCTCTGCCCTCTCCGATTCGACGGCGCGACATCGACGATAGATAGAAATTCTCGCGATACACCGAACTCGGCGACGTTTGTTTGCGCTGCAAGTTATTTCGGCTTTGTGGCAGCGCGATACTGCGAGCTAGTTGCACGGATGTTCCGCCGGAACTGTCGCGATGATGTACGGTTAAGGTGCCTAGTACGAGACACAGCTTTTTTTTTTTTAGATCGCACTTTTCGATTGAAAGTACTCGTATGAAAAGCAGATACACCTTTAAGAACTAATATACATTTATTATTATTTCGTTAATAATTCGTAAACAAAGCCGCAGATTGCATTTTCACAAAGGAAAAAGTTACTTAGAATGGCCTCAGTTACCCCACATTTCCGTACTGCGAGACATTTTTGGGACACCCTGTATGCATTCTTTCACGATCCACTGGAAAATACAGAACTGACACGCGTTGCTTTATAAAAATTATAAGACTGAATGTATTTAAATTTTCGACTATCTGTAGCGCGTGTCAGGTTAAATAAATATGTTCAACAATTTTCAAATAGCTTCACGATTTCAATAATTATAAAATGAAAAATGTGAAGCTTATTGCGGTTATTAAAAGAAGTAAGATCTGTTTAAATAATTTATATTTCTTACAATTAACATAGACAATTTTTATTTTGTATAAAGATCCGCGGTCTATTAATTATTCGGTTAAAATTGAGAGGTGTTTAATTGTCGATCGCAATTAACGACTGAGCTGGAGATTCAATGGTTAATTGCAATGAAGGACTGAAATAGAAATTTCATTGTTAATTACCTACTGGAAAATATAGAAGTGACACGTGTTGCCTTATAAAAATTATAAGATCGAA